CACCATATCACAAAGGGATTGGGATCATGGACGGAAGAAGACATCCACCTCTGCTAGGTCATTTTCTTCTGACAGGCTGTTCTTCTAAGTGGCTATGTTCTTCTTTAGAGCGGCTTGTTCTTAGAGGGTCCAAACGAAAAGAGAAGCACAAGCTCTCACATACAGAGAAACTACATTTCTAACCCTCTCTATTAGGCTGTGAAGGAGGGGGAAGAATAGGGGAACGTTCACTGGTCTCTCCCTGTCACATATTTCAGGCCTTGTGTACTTTTGTTCGGATTGAACCAGTTTCTGTGGCTTAGAAGGGGGCAGAGGCCACGTGGCATTGACAGCTAGAGAAGAAGAGCAGCAGAGTGAAGGCAGAGTTGGGTGAAGCATGGAGATTTATTTATTTATTTTTGTACAAGAGAATGGAGAATGAAGGAAAGTTTGTCTCCCCACCCAAACCCACCCCAACAGCGACTAAAAGGACTCTGGAACTAACCAACACGTATCCATAAGCGTATAGCGCCGCCAAGTGGTGGCAAACGAAAAGGGAATCGCCCAGTGTTCTCCAGTAGCGTAATAGCAGCAACAGATCTAGGATTCAAACACAACACACACATACACACACAAGGAAGGTTTACTAAGAGAAGTACAGGTAGGAAACAGGCTTCAAACAGAAGGTGGGAGAAACATAGGCCCTGATTTGCACCTTCTTACAAGGGCTCCGCTCCTCTTGTTTAAATAGCTCGCCTATAGGCGGGAACGTAGCATATGTCCTGGCACTGACATAAAAGGAACAGAAAAAGCATCTCTCTGTGAATTTCTTCATGCTGGGCTGAGTGTGATGCTGGCAGTCTGGGCACTAAGCTCACCTACTCAGCAGTGTGAAAGGATGCAACCAGTTTCCTTCAACAACAAATGAAACAAAAACCAACAGCCCATCATATGCAAACATCGCTCTCTTTCTCTGTCCCACACCATGGATCTGCTGAAGGAGGAGAGAAAACTGCATAGCTGCTTTCAATGACATCATTGATTCAGAAATGCAATTAGGGGTTAATTCCAGAACTGAGTGGGAATGGGGTGTGTGGATTCTAGTGCTAATGAATTCAGAACAGCTCTCTGCCCCCCCCCAATAGTCCTTCTCAGCCTTTCCGTCCTATTTCATCCTGGCCCAGTTTCCTCAGGACTTCAGAACCTGACAGAACTGGGATACAACATTCCACAAATTCTGAGGGGGAATAATTTTAACTGGAGGGAAATCAGACAGAATTCTATTAAAATCATCAACATCATCATCAACAACAACAGTTACAACAACAACCATAGATTGTTGATAAATTCAAGGTTGCAAATCACGCCCACTATATCTACCAAATGATTGTATTGATTGTGGAATTTCAAGTGGTTTAACTCCCACCCCAGGCTGTCTATTAACAGCGAACAGAATGCATGGACAAGTCTGGACAGCGAGATCTAGCTTGCTGTGCTCTGCCCACAGCAGCTGAATCAATGAAGGATGCAATTTGGTGGTGGTGAGGAGGAGGTATATCTCTTTTTTCGGACAGAGACTTGAAGTGGATGGCCTGTTTCCAAAGCTCATCCTGTCCCTTCCATGCCAGAAGGACACAAGAGGGAACCATTTTGAAGAGAGCCTCCCACTTGGGCTCTGGCTGTGTCTCTGCCTCTCCAGGAGATAGTTCCTCATCTAGTGAGAGTCTATTGGACCTTGTTTCTCACTTGGTTCCCAGAATCCTCTTTGGCATATTCTTAATGTGACGGTTGGTCATATGACCAAGAGCTAAAGCTCCGAATGACTCTTAGAATGATAGATACATAGAAAACAATAGCCACCTTGCCATGCTCAGTCAAAATATTACAGACACCATTGGGTCTCCATATGGTACAGACTTGGTTGATGGTCTAAATGAAAGAGCAGATCTCAAGGGTGTGTGGAAAAGAAAACCAAAGAGGACTGTGGCAAAACTTGCCTCAGCCAAAGAGTTTCCCATTGGGGATGAGCGAGAGTCATCAGCATATCAGAATGTGTTTTCAGCATGCTCAGCTGAATCAAACCTCAGAGTGCCATATTAAAGAACAGTAGTTGGGAATGTCAGCAGGATCACTATTAGCTCTTAGGCAAGACTGGAAAATAAGAGGAAAGGGTAGATGAAATCCCCTGAAGGGAGAAGAATCTCTGAAAGCACATGCCTTATGTAACCCACTCCCAAACCCATAGCCTGCAACAGAAGTCATGAGCTGCTGTTAATTCTAGGCATTAGAAACATGGAGTTCTGAAGAGAGGATGGGATCCACCAGGCCCTTCAAAAGAATGTAATGCCTCCTTGCACATGTTGGAACAAAATAGGGCCTGTAAACTACCTGCAATCTAGTCTTTATTCTTCTAGGGAATTTTGAGGAAAGCCCTGTTTGATAGCCAGTTTCATTTGTATTACAGTCATTCATGTACATACTTCTAAACTTTCATTGTCTCTCACAACCACCTACCCCTTGCTATATCAATCTAAAACATTCACACACCAGATACACAACCCTCAGGCCTAAGAAGTCAAAGGAACAAGGCTCTGCCAGAGTCTTGATACTTGATGAGTATCAAATACAAAGTAAAAGCTGGTGTATTTTGTCATGCCTATTCCATCACCAGTTTTTGAATATGTTACAGTTTCCCGTTGTACCTGTATTTGTAAAACTAGAACAGTACATATGTTTTGTTGTTTTTCAGCATGTTGGGCATCTCATTGGCAGATAAGGTGGGAGACAAAATGTTTTAAATAAAGGTAGGAAAAATTATTTAAATAAAACAATGAATTATTAACTGCATAAAAAGTGAGACTTTAAATCCAAGTCTGTTTAAGTTGAGGGGAAGGGAACCAGCCCATGGACAGGAAAACAAACATATTGCATCACCATGTATACAACGATGCATTTACTTTGGATAGTTTAGTCCCACTTTCCTAGCATAAGCAGCTTGGAGCAAAAATATTCAAAATTGTAAATGTGAAACAAGCAGAAAGGACGCCAGTTTTTCTACAGCTTTGTCCATGCAGAGGAAGAAATCTGTCATGGCTTGCCCAAGACATTACACTTCCTGGGGCAATGGTTAAGACAGGGCAGCTGCGCCAAAGCTGATTGGACCGGCAGTTGCATTCTGGTTCTCTGCTAACAACAGGTATCTTCCACCACGCCTGAAGATGGCAGGCTACTGGGGGGTGGGTGGCAGGACAGGTTACACAGCATAACATACACAGTTATATCCTTCAAGAGAGAAAGATGACCAGGAGGAACAGGTGAGGGTCTGTCACTGCTGCCTTCCCAAGAAGCCTACCTGTCACCTGGCCGTAATAGAGAAAGGCAGGGGCTGCCACAAGCTCTCATAACAGTCTGTGTTGTATTTACATTGTCTCTTTTGAACACAAATTTGAGTGTAGAAAGGTTACTTGAACAACAACCCCAGAATTCCCTCAGCCAACACAGTGCATTTTCCCCATTTTCTTTCCCAAAACGTAATGTTTCCCAGCTCTGAATCCATTGGGAACATCTCAGCTGAAGGGCACATTTCCTGTCCATTTTAATGGGCTCATTCAGAAGGTGGGCCCAGTGACATTTGCTGCAGGCAGGGGATGGAGGAGGAAGTCAGATCACAAAAGATGCTCAAAATGTGTGGGTGGGACAATAACTTTCAAATGAATCAATGTGGCAAGGACAAGGATAGCCTTCCAGATGTGAGCTGATTATATGCCACCCCACAGTGCTTAAAGCACTCTTTGGGCAGTTTACAAGCTACACATTGTCCCACTCCCTGCCATGAACCAGGTACTCAGTTTACCAAGCTCGGAAGGATGAAAAGCTGAGTCAACCTTCAGCCAGCTACCTAAATCCATTGGGATTGTATTCAGGTCGTGAGCAGAGTCTTCACTGCAGTATTGCAGTTTAACCACTACACCATGAGACTTCCCCAGTAAGCTGTTGGGCTGGTGGCAATTCAAGCACCTGCCGTGCCCTTCGCCCACTTACCATAGACCAGATAACCACAGGTGATGGCGACATTCAGCTTGACCAGCCAAGGGTCTCCCCTGCAAAGGTGACATAGTAAGTAATGGTAAAAACACTAGGGACCTGTTTCTGGGAGATTAATCCCCTACTGGCAACTGCCCACTTCTTTTCCCCAAGCAACGCTTTCCCGCATAGGGTGTTGCGGTGAGATAGCCCTTCTGACTTGTTCTGGTGGCTCTGAGCAGAGCTTTTCTGAATTTCAACTTGCCAAATTCCCCACCTAGCACTGCCCCCCCCCCCACAAAGGCAACCTTTCCAAGGTCTAGCTTTGCAAGACTCCATCAAATTTTACCAGCGGTTACGTTGGTGGGTTCAGGGTGCATTAGAACCAGCAGCCCTTCAGACAAAATAGCCTCAAAAACATTATGAAGCACAAGAACTGCCCGTAGAGATAATTCTCATGACATACAGACAGCATCTTGCCTTGGAGGTTTAGTCTATGAATTACAATACAGTACTGTAGTTAGAATCACAAGGCAAGATGAAGCATTTTGAACTATGTCAATGCTAATTCATTTTGCTGTTGACATTCCTTACTGACAATTTGGCAGCTCCTCACAATACATAATTAGCTGTTAGTTAATATTCTCAGGTAATGTTCTTAAACCAGATAATTTGTTCCATCCTTTTTTTTTACACACATATACACAAAAGGCATGAATTCGGTGTCTTTGATAAACACTCCTGTTTTTATCTGGGAAAAAATGTATACATGTGTAGGTCTGTATATGTTTTTTTTTTTAAAAAAACATTGAAATTTAAGCCAGGTTAGTTTCTGAAGGTCCTGGAAGACACTAAAGGGTTTGAACTGGTGAATCGTTATCTCTGCTTTACTGGAACATGTTGACCTGACCTTTTCCCCTAGGAAAGGGTGACAGGGTGTTCCACAGATCATCACCAGTTCACCAAGACCAAGTGATCTGGGAAGCCAATGGGGCTTTGATGGACTGACACGTCTGCCTCCTGCCTGGTTCTCCATCCTGACCCACATGCTGAGGGTCAAGGCCTTGTGCTCTCTTCTCTCCTTCCATCTCTTGGAATCGGTCCACCTTCCTGCCCCCTCTCTCTGGTCTTTGTTTACTCCTCTGATCCTGGATGCCCACTTGATTTGAACCATTTATTTACCTCTTTTTCTGGCAGCCAGTGGTTGGCACAACAGAGCCTGAAGGACTTTGATAGCAGGCCTCTATGCTAATTTAAAAAAATAAATTAATCCAATCTTTAAAGCCCATTTAAAAAAAAGCCAATCACAGTGATTTAAACAATTTAGGATAGTCTCATGCTATCTGTCCTTCTTGTCATTGAGCAATATTTCCCTTTTAAGTTTTGGAGGTCTTGCACCTTCTTTTGTTTTACATGGCTAAGATGCCCCCTTCATGGACATGCCTGTGGCTTTCTCACGTCCTTCTCACCTTTGCTCATTTGCTGGTCACTGCTTCTCTGCTCAATCCTCCCCAGAAACAACATGCTCTAAAACAGCAATGATCTGAAGGCAGGTAGCCACGTTTCTTATTTTTATTTATGATGTTCAGGGTGAACCTCTCTCTTTTGCAGGAGGTAGGTTAAGCACCAGTTCTCAGGGTGCAGCTTGGTAAGGGAAAGCTGGTGAGAAACTAACAGAATCAACAGGAAATGATGGGAAAAAGAGAGTGGGGAGTAAAAGTGGCCAGTGCCTGCCTGCTAAACTTTAAGGATGATTTCAGCCAGCCAAAGCAACATCGGGCTAATGAAAAACAGAGATTGATGTCAATGTTATAACAAAGAAAATATGTTAGTTGCAACTAAACAGATCCCAAATAAAACACAGGAGCACAATCCAGCGTTTTTGGTCAAGCAGACTTACATGCACTTGAGAAACCCTTGGGGTAGAGAAACCTGTGGCTCTTCAGATGTTCTGGGACTTCAGACTTCCCATTATCCCTTACTAGCAAATGTTAGTCAAGGATTCTGGGAACCGTAGTTCAGCAATCTCTGGACGGCCGTATGTTATCCAGCCTGTGAGATCTAATCCTGCGGTTCTCCTAGGCAAGTGTTCCTGTGGCCATGCCAGCCAAAGGATTCTGAAAATTTGAAGTCCAGGAAAAGAACCTTGCCAAGCTCTGATAGAAAGCAAGGCCTGAAAGACTGCAAGCAGAGTAGAAGCAACAGAGCAGAGGCAGGAGGGAACATGGCTTCTGTAGCCAGTGTAGGCACCTCTTGGGGCTCAGCGCCAGCCTTGGCTCAAATGCTCCTGCCTTGAGCTGACCCCACCTCACCCCACTCAGTCCTAAACCCCAAGGAAAACAAGAGCCCATTCTTCCCCAGCACAAAACAGCCCTTTATGACTTACCAGCATAATGGGACTGGCTAAGCTCACAGGCACCTCCTCATCCTCCTCTCCTTTGCGGGAGAGAGCAAGCTGGGGTGGGGGGTGGGGGAATGGATGCCTGCAGCTAGGGTGGTAAAGGACATGCAACGAGGAGGAGAAGGAGGGGGCTAGGAGCAAGCAACGTGGACTGCTCCTTCTTACCAGATAGGGTTGGCATTTACAGCATCGTCAAACCAGAGGATATAGAGGCAGAAAAGGCCAACTATCACTGCATGGAGAGTAGACACGCACCTAGGGAGGAGGAGGACGGTGACATGGTCAATGTTAACCCATGACAGGTGTATTCTCTCTCTCTCTCTCTCATGTGCACTCTCTCATGTGCGCGCGCGCACACACACACACACACACACACACACACACGCACACGCACACGCACACGCACACATGCACACACAGAGGTCAGTATCCTAATGAGTTTCCATTGAGCTGAATGTTCTGCCAGCTTAGTAACAGATGATCAGCAGTGATCTCCACGAAGAAAATCTATGTGGAGTTGCTGCAGCCAGACCGCTAACTGGCACTGGTTACAGGGAGTATATAACTCTCGTATTCCAACAGCTGCCTTGGTTGCCAGGTCTGTTTCTGGACTTAGTTCAAGGTGCTGGTTATGATCTATAAAGCTCTCTATTTAGGCTTGCATCCTGGCTATCTGAAAGCTACCCTATATGAGCCTCCTTGGCTTTTAAGATCTTCTGAGGTGTCCTTTCTCTCGATCCTACCACTCCCACAGACTCAGTTGGTGAGAGGGCCTTCTCGGTGGCTGCTCCCAGGCTTTGAAATACAATGCCTTGAGAGGACGCCAGGTTTGCCTCTCTCCCCCCCCCCCCGCTCCCAGCTTTGGTCTTCCACTGGCAGGCAATGACTTTCCTTCTCAGGCAGGCTTTTATGCAATAAGTGGAGGTTTTATGAATGCTGCATCTGTTGAATTCAGAGACTTTTAAAAGCATTTTAATGGTGGTTTTTTAAAAATGTCATAGGCTTAATTCTTTTAGTGTTATGAATTATCGTGCTTTTAATTATGATTATTGTGTGATTTTAATTGACTGTCTGCCTCTTTTGAGTCTCCTGTGAGGCTAAAGGCAGTGTATAACTAACTAACTAACTAAAACTAACTTGCCCTCTGCTTCTGCAGTGGCACTCCTTGCACAACTGGCACAATCCTGTGTTATTATGCTGCTGGGGTTTACTGGCCATGATTACACCTTGCAAAGCGAGTGAGTCCTCAGTGTTTTGTTCATTGCAAGGTACACTGATATCCTGCTTTCTCTCCAAGGAGCTCAAGGTGGTACCCAGGCCTCTCTTCCTCTCCCTTTAGTTTCACAAACATTCTGTGGGATAGGTTGGACTGAAAGAGAGAGAGAGAGAAAGAGAGAGTTTGGCACAAAGTGGCCCATTACATTTCATGGCTCATTGTGAACTTGAACTGGCTCTGTCATCTTTTAGTCCAGCTCTTTAACTCCTTGCTATATACCATGTTACTTTTTTCTCATGCCTTCTCCCCTTAGTCAGTCACCTGCTACAGCCTGTTTTACTGTGGTTACTGTGTTCCCTGGAGATTCTGACACTGGACCAATAAGGAATATGAAGGGGTTGCAGGCCCTTCAGCTCATCTGCCCAGTGACTGTACCTGGAATTCCATTCATTCTGCTTGACGGAGGGAAGGGTGGCGTAGCTGGGGCTCAGCGACAAGGACAGCTGGGGGCTGAGAGCTGAGAAGGAGAACTGGAAGGCCACAAAGCTGCCGGCCACAATACAGTAGCCCAGACGGGTGGAGTCCTCCATGGAGTTTCAGCAACACCTGCAAATCAAGGAATGTGGGTGGGTATTAGAGGGACACAGAATGAGCTGCGCTTGGGACTGAGATGTGCTGGCACAAAGCTTCAAAAAGTTACTTTTCTGAACTACAGCTCCCTGAAACTCTCCGCCATGGTGTTTTTCAGGAAAAAAAATCGGCTTGCTTTTGTTGTTGTTGTTGAATTACATATAACACTTAGACTATTTGTGGTGCTTAGATGACATGGCAATAACACTGCAAAGTCAAGCCATGCTCTGATGGCTTTTGCCTAAAACAAATGATACGAAATAGGAAACCAAAATGAAACTTATGGTCACGCTAACTGATGGACATACATTTCTATAGCTTGTACCCATACTACACATGCCGTTGACGGGTGTGGTTGAAATGCCTTGTACCGCCTCCCCCCCCCAGCTCATAGCATCTGGAACATGTTTTTGTTGTTCACTCCAATACTTGGTCCAATCTAATCTCTTTTTCTGAAACAGGACCAGAGATGGAAACACAAGGAGCTGCCTTATACCGGGTCAACTGGCAGGGTTGTTTTTTTTTTTTAAGTGTATCAGTTGGCATTCTTTCCTAGTTGTACCTGAAGGTCCCCTTAGGGTCTCCCATCCTAGCAGTAACCTTGCTCAACCCTGCTTAGTAGCCACAATTAAACAAGCGCAGGTTATTTACCTAAAATTCCCAGAAACAACATGCCCTAAAACAGCCGTTATTTGAAGGCAGGTAGCCAGGTGTGTTGCTTTTATTTCTTATGTTCGTGCCTATGCCGTGCTTCTGTTTGAAGATAGACGGAATGACAAACTCCACAATACCATTACATCTACGACAATCAAATGTTGGTTGTCCCATAAATGATTTTAAAAAATGAGCAACAACCCAAAGCCTACTAGATAATTTTATTTGTTATCCAGCTCATTACTCTCCAATGAATCCTTGCTGCCTAAGTGGTGAAAGAGCAGGTCCTTAACGTGCCTGAAACAACTCCACCTTACATTTCCCCCTGAACCCCTATAGAGATGCCTTGCTTTTTAGGGACCCAAGAAGATGATTCCAAAATACGGGGCAAGAACATGAAAATATATTTTCTTAATCTATTCAAGCCTCACAGCTTTAAGAGTTGGCACCTACAGAAGAGTAGCACCGGACAACCTCAACTGTCATGGGGACTCCTATGGGTAGAAGTGGTCCAGTAAATTGACCTCTTGTCTTTTTATTATTTTTTTTTGAGGGCCTCTGTTTAGACACTTTGAGCAAGAGGATGTGAAACCAGGAAGACACTCTGGTGTGATCCAGCAGCGTGTTTCTTAGGTTCAGAAGGATCTCACATGAAGGAAGAGAAAACAGCCCTGGGCTATCCCAGGCCCCAAAATGCCTTCTAAGAGCAGCCTAGCAAGCCATGGAACTGAAGGGAACGAGCCACACCACAGTGGCAGCCGGAGTGTCTTCAGCTAGCTTCTCATTTCCTTTAAAAAGCTGCTGACGTATCAAACAAATTAAAAGCAGCACTGAAGCTTTTCAGTTTGACACACAAAAAAATTAATGCAATTAATTAATTAAAAATTAATCCAGAAATTAATGCAAGAAATGCTTCAGCAGAGAGTAAAGGACATAAACTAGTCGGACAGGAAGCAAGGAGGTAAGAGAAAGGAGACGAGGTGGGGGGGATTAAAGGCAGTGGGTGAAAAATACACCTTCAAGTAATGCAGGACTCATGTTCACTTTGTAATTTGGGTTATTCAAGGACCAAGCTTAACATAACATTTGTGAATAGTGTAATGGATTTTTTTAAAAAAAAATAAACCTAGTACAAAATAGGTATTAATAACTGGATTTAAAGAGGAGGGGGGCAGGTGGGCTATTGGGATGGTTCCAAAGAAGGAAAGGGTCAAGTGGGGATTTCTTTAAGCATGAGGGGAAAAAAGTTATGCAAGCGCCTAATGGTTGCAGAGAAGATGGGGCAAAAAACCATGTTGATGTTCTGTAGAGATGCTAAAACTCAAAACAGTGATAAGGCAACTCTAAACGCAGGGAGGGGAGAAAGGTGAGCAGGACAGACAGAAGGGCTGCATCAAGTGAGGCACAGCTGAAGACAGAAGTTGAAGAATAATAGTTTTTAAGTAGCACAAGTACCTATAACAATTTAAAAGTAACAAAGTTACTTGTACCTAACCATTTTTGGGAGGGAAAACAAGGGGTATAACAATGTTACATTTGAAAAGTAATATAATAAACAGGATCAAAATTACCTCACTGAGATAAGAAGTAATGTTTCTAATTACTTTGAAATCTATATAAGCTGTTTGAACAGGAATGTTCAGTTTTGCAATATTCTCTTTTCAGTCTTAATTTTCTCCCCTCTCACTCAAACACATACATAATGGAAAGTGATTAAAAAGTAACAAATACACTTATCCCAGATATTTCTAAATTTAAGATGCTGTGGGAGGAACCTGGGATCTTCTATATACAAATCTTGTGCACTAGTTGTGGCCCTTCCCAAAAACAGAAGCCTCTCAGTCCAGGAAACATACCTGGGCCACGGCAAAAAAGTGTCAGATTCTGAAGTGTAAAGTCCAATACCTGGGGAGTCCAATAACTGTCTCAGGCCGAGACAGTTACCATGGGAGGGAGATGAAAACCTTTCTGGATCAGCTACAGTTTCCCCCAGAAAACACATCATGGAACTCTAAAACATAGCTACATTCTCTAGTAGGGGCAGACAACTGTGAGCTTTCAGGTTTTGTTGGATGGAAACTCCTATAATCCTTCATCCTTAGCAATATTAATTATGGCTAATGGTAGCTGTAGGTGAAAAACACATGTGGAAAGACAGAGGTGCACAACCCTTCAACAGGAAAAATGTTTCGTGTGTGTTAGTCATGAGTATCAGAGTACAGTAGACAATACAGAGAGGGCTGGGCCAGTGGTCTGACCCAGTACAGTATCTTCTATATGGTACGTTCATTCCAAAGAGATGATGTACTTCTCAGAGGTTGGCAACATTCCCTTCCGGATTGCAATTCTCCATATATTCAATTACCATAATTTATTTATTTAAAATATTTCTATGCTGCCTTTCTCCTTAAAAAGGACCCAAGAGGGGCAGGTATGGCCACTGACCATGTTGGGTGGAAGATCATGGAAAGTGTAATCCAGAACAAACAAACGAACAAATGAACAAACGAACGAACGAAAGAAAGAAAGAAAGAAAGAAAGAAAGAAAGAGGAACTTTCCCAAGTTTTGGTGATTATCAGGTGGTGACATGTACTTCCAGAAAGTAACCTTGAAACTGTAATGTGTTGGATAATCATGAACCAGGCATTTACAAACCATAGTGGGTGCCAGATCTTTAAACCAGTTGAGCTACATGCGAAAGAAAGTCAAACAGTTCCCCCTGATCTCTGAGGGACATTTTGCACGGTAGTCTGGTTGCAGACAAGAAATCTGATTTCCATATTTGCTGGTCTGAGCCAAAATGCATGTTAAAGGTACATCCTATTCAAAGCCCCGATTCCAGGGGATACTTGGAAAGGTCTGCTGCAGGGCAGGACAGCGAGGGATTAGGGTTGCAGTGCTGTGCATGCTTCTTTGTGAGCAACTGGCACTAGATTCAGAAGGAGCTTACTTTCAAGTAGCTACACAGAAGATTACATTGCTAAAAGCAAGGAGTAGGCAACAGAGAGGAGGAGGGTGGTCTACTCACTGAAGGTATTTTGTCTAAGGATTCCCACCACCGCTTTTATCTAGCTGAGACTAAACCACAGTCTGGTCTCCTACCTCATTTATTTTCAAAATGTTCTCGTGCATAATGCTGTAAGAGTGCATCCTTTACCCGAAGTATTCTTGGCTGCTGACTAGAGATGGGAACAAATCAAAAAATGGCAATTCATTTTGATCCGTTATTTGTCAAGGTTAACGGATCAACGAATACGAATATACGAATATTCTTTGACAAATCGAATAAACAATCTGTCTGCAATTTTAAATGGCTATGACACTGGCCCCCAACCACCCAGAGCCACCAAATGTGCAGGGATGCTTCCTCAGACACTTTTCTCCAACTCCTGAAAGCTTGGTGAACATTGGATCATGGACCACTGAGTTATATAGTTACAAAGAGGACTCCCCAGAAAAGCTCCCCCCAGGTACTTAGAGACTTCAGAATCACAATGGATCTTCCTATGTCTTTCCTCAACAAGCCTGCCAACTTTCCTGAAGATTGGATATTAGACATTTGAGTTATTCACCCACAAATTGGGTCCTCCCAGGAGAGTTTACCACATGGCACAGAAGCCCATTCTGCCTACTGGCTGCCGATCATCTGATCAGGAGCCAATAGGCAACTGCCCCAACAGTCTACCCCCACACCCCCTTCCTTTCCCTACCTTAGGCCCCACCACACTCCCAGCAACACCCCCTTACCTTAATAGCTGCTGCCAAGGTCACCATCAGGCCTTTGCAGACACGGCGTGTAACAAGGGAGACTGGCTGCCCTTTGCAAAGATGGTGGCTATGGCGTCATTTAGGGTAGGGAAGCTGCAGCTGCCATCTTTGCAAAGGGCAGCCTGGATTCCCTTAAGGCAGGCT